ACGAGTATAGTATAATATACCCCAAAACCCTAATTAACCCTATTCTAATTATTAAGGCCAGTTTGCCGATGTTCCCTGGGAAGCAACCCGATTTCCCATGCAACCCCAAAGCCCGGCCCGAAGCAGAATCCCAGACTGGGATTTAGGGTTTAGAGTTTAGGGTTTAGGGCTTTAGGGTTTTAAGGCTTAGGGTTTATAGGGTTTAGAGTTTAGGGTTTTAGGGTCTAGGGTTTAGGGCTAAGCAAATTTAGACCGCATTCTAACTGTATAGGCGGCGATACTACCTACATGATGCGAAGCATGTGGTTTCTCCATTTGGAGTCACTACTCGTGAATTGGTTAGTGTAAGCACCCCACATACAGGTACCTAGAATTTTGTTGAGCGTGGTTTTTACAACCCCCAAAAAAGGATTCCAGAAAATCCCTAAAGGAGCACTTAAAGCATCTTAGCACTGGAATCTCTAAGCCCCTAAACACGTTGAAGGCACACTCACGTAGACACTTCTAGAGGAGCCCCTAAGACTTGAAACGAACCCTTAAAACCCTTTCTTGACCCCTAGTGAAGTGAAGGTGCTGGGGAGAACTTCCACAGCCTCCGCGAGACGTCCAGGACTTGAAATTTAATTGTGTGCAGTTCTTTAGGAAACAGGACAAGTACGCCTCAGATAAATCATAAACCCCAAATCCTACACCCTCAAACCCCGAACTATTTAAGCCCGTAAGCCATGAACTCTAAGTCGTACCAGCAAAAAGAACCCTGTAAACCCCTACGCCCTGACGCTTAAATCACAAACCCTAGACAGAACAACGAACCCTCTACACCCCCAAGCCATGAAGATGTTTAGAACCCTGTAAACCTTTAAGCCATAGAGTCTTCAACCCCAAAAGACGACAGAACCCTCTACACTACACCCCTAAGTCATGCTCCTTGGAACCTTGTATATCCCTTAGCCATACAATCCTAAAACCTAAAACCCTAAACCCTAAGGCCCTAAACCCTGAACCCAATCCTAAACCCTAAAGCCTATAAGCCCGACTCACCGAATCCCTTAAAAGCCCTACATACATTTCTCATCCAGGGACCTTAATAACTGGGCTTGCTTTAAGTGTTCCTTTACGTGATCCGTTAAGGTTTCCTACAAGGGTTTGACACTATGGGCGCTTCAACTAGTGCCAAGCCCTTGTAGAATTCAATACCAAACCTACATCCGTAAACCCCACACAACTCCACAAGCCCTTGTAGAATCCGGTACATGTATAGCATATACCCATGTAGGCAACAAAGTACCCACCTCTAAGTACATACACTATATTGGCAAATAGAGCCTCAGGGCTATAAAGCCTCATGGATTCCTAAAAGTACTTAAAGGCACCCCTTTGAAGCCCTTATAACCTTTGTACTGTAAACCCTAAACCCTAAACCTTAAACCCTAAACCCCTTATAACCCTTGTAGAATCCATGACCGAACCTTTCCTGGCGCCGAGTCAGCACGTGCCTCTGGAGCGCGCAGCGTCTGCTCCTGGAGGTATGCAAGTGAGGGGATGTAGGATTCAGGGTTATGGGTTTAGGCTTTAGGGGTTTAGGGTTTAGGGGTTTGGGGTTTAGGGTTATGGGGGGGGATTTGGGGGTTTGAGGGGGAATTTGGAGGTTTAGGGTTTGGGGTGTAGGAGTTTGGGGGTCTACGGCTTCAGGGCAGGGTTTAAGGTTGGGTGTACTCAGAATTATTCCTGGAGCCTTCAGCAGCATAACATATCTGAAGCATTAAGCTACAGGGTCTTAGAAGTACCTGCATCGTAGGATGTTGAGTATTAGGATCTCTATTGTGATTTAGAGTAGAAGGTAGGGTTTCTATAATTGGAATCATCACGGTTATAAGTTGGGGAAGTTTCCCCCTAACTTTAACACTACCTAAGACCCTTTGGGTAAAGCAACTGCCGCTCAGAAAAGAGCGCCTTCGGCCAATGACAACGGGCTAAGGGGTTTAGTGTTTTTCAAGATCCTAAGACGAGCTGAGGTATAGGGTGTAGGGTTTAGGGGCAGCATACCATCAGATACGTAGCTTTCACCTGCTCGCTTGAAGATGGATTCGCTGCTCATGTCTGTGAGACGGAGACTGCTTCCCAAGGATGAGGCAGTTGAGAATGGTGTCCTCAGACTCCCCCCCTCAATTCCCTAGACCAGTAACCGTACACTCTGAACCCCTAAGCCCCTAAACCCTAAACCCCTAAACCCTAAACCCCTAAGCCTGACTCCAGCCAACAGGGCGGTCTTGATTTTTTCAGCTTTCAAGGGTTTCGGGTTTAGAGTTTAGGGTTTTAGGGTTTAGGGTTCAGGGTTTTAGGCTTCATCTCAGAGGAAGACCTAATCCGCAGTCCTGGCTTGAGACATCCAGACTGCGGTGCCTCCACTCTGTATCAGGGCTCGGAAATCTCCGCTGTTTTGGTGCACCAAGTGGCAGATCGGCCCGTCAATCTCTGATATGAGAGCAAAATATGAGGCACTTTACACAGCAGGCTGGATGTGGGGGGGACCAGTCTTTGGCAGCTTGCAGCAACAGAAGTGTCGTCGGGTTTTGTGCTGACTACGGTGCACAGGGCATCTGACACCAGCATCTCCGATCGACATCCACCTTGAACCCTGAGTAATCTTCTGGCTTGCATGGGGCTTGGGGATCACTTAGGGATTGCGGCACTTGTTTGTTAGAGAAGATTTCTGTAGGGTCGGGGTTGATTTAGAATGAGTGGGGGTTGAAGGGGCTTTGTAAGGTACTGCTGCTCATGGCTGTGAGGAGTCGAGGTCGGTTGAGGATGCACTTTCTCCAAGGTCTTGCGAGAGGGTTCGCCGAGTCGATCCTGGAGGATGCCTGCGACGGCCCTGTGGAGAACAGAGGACCCTAAACCCAAAACCCCTAAACCCTACACCCTAAATCCCTAAACCCGAAACCCTAAACCCAAAACCCCTAAACCCTGAACCCTAAAGGTCGTAATGGGCGAACTCTGCTGCAAGACATCGTTTCCGGATTGAGGTTCTGGATCTTTACTGGGTTGTTACGGGTTTAGGGTTTAGGGTTTAGGGTTTAGGGTTTAGGGTTTAGGGGTTTAGGGTTTAGGGTTTAGGGTTTATTGTTGTGTTCCGGATCCTCCACCCATACCATAGCATCCATCGTAGTTCCTTTTCCGGGTTACCTTATGGAGGCCGAATAAACAAATAAATTTGGTTGAACAAAAAGGGAAACTAATATTAGGGGCCTGTTAATTGCAATGCTATTTTGGGGGGTTCCGTCTTGTAATTATAGCATGTGCTGAAGTGCATCCCACCTTTG